TGTGGGTGGTGGCTATGTATCCTTTTCTCTCTGCTCTTCCTCTCAGTCCTCCTTACTTCTGGGCCTCCTTTACTTCTGGCCCAGGTTGTTAATACAGCTGTAACTGGTCTTCCCACCTTTAGTCTTTACCACTCCAATCTCCTCACTGAAGTGGTCTTTCTGTAACTCAAAACTCAAATTTGATCATTCCATGGCCCTGGTTAGTATTTATCTGTGGCTCCCTAGTGTCTTCATGGTACAGTTGGAGCCTGTTATCTATGGGCCCTTCTGTCTGTCTGGACCAGCTTGAGGCATCTCCACTAACAGCCATGCTGTATGTACTGGCAGCATATTTTGTTGGTGTGTAGCCCAGTAGAGCTCTTTGCAAGAGATGGCCATTTTCTCCCATGTTTTAGTATATCTGCAAATGCCATTCCTTTGGCTTGCCTTGCCCTGCATGTCTTGTGGCTCTACTTCTCAAACTTGCCTGTGCTTGACCTAGAGGTGTTGTTAAATCAGAGTCCTGGGCTCCGCTGTCAGACTTTCTGCCACACTGGGAGTGGGGCATGAGAGCCTGTATTTTTAACAAGTCCCTAGGTGATGCTGATGTAGGTGGGGGCCATACTTTGTGTAGCAAAGCTGTATAACACTTTATCAAAATACTTCTACTGTTTTGAAATTGCTTGTGTGTCTTTCTCCCTTGTGGAATCTGGACTTCCTGGGAAGAGGAATATGGTTGCCCATTAGTATACCTCTAGTGACCAAGGACCTGGGATGTGGTTTGTGTTCAGTAATTTCTGTTGGATGAATGAATGAGCAGCTCACTGTTTATGCAGTGGAGTTTAAATGGCTTTGTCTCTTGTAGTGAATCAGATTCCATTTGGAATATTTCAGCTTACTGGTCTTCGGACTGTTAGCTACTCCATCCGTATGCCTTTAGCCTTGAAACACTCAGATATAGAACTTGAGAATTCCTATAAAGATCGGACCATAGGTTAAATACAGAAAATCAAGGGCTCCTTTTGCTAGATCTCAAGCTTTAAAGTATGAAGTGGACTCTTAGATTTCTTGTCATTAAGAAGAACATATCTGTTGCAATATAAAGCATATCTCTGAACTTACTCAAGCCTGTCAATAAGCAGGCACACTTTTCAGTGCCTGTGCTAAACCTGCTAGGGACTGCATGAGGAATGAAATAGTATCTGATGTGACTGTAGCCCTCTGTGTTGAAACCTGAGTGAAGATACTTAAGCATGCTTGAAATGTTCAAACTCTTGGTATTCACCACTGTTATCCTACAGATACAAATTTTTAAGAGGATGCTCAAGTCACTTGCTTTATGTAAAATATACATTGATGCTGTGGGTATAGCTCAGTGGTAGAGCACTTGCCTAGCATGTGTGAGGCCTCAGGTTCAATCCTAAGCAACACACCGTACATGCACACGTAAGCATGCGTGCACGCACGCGCACACACACACACACACACACACACATACACACAACATAAAATTCACAGTGAGAAGCAAGGGAAAAGAGATGGTGGTAGCTTAGCACACTTTAATGAAAATGACTACGCAGTGTTCGTTTGCCCTCCCTCTTTGTCGCAGAATCTTTTTGGTCTCAGGGAGTAGGAACTAACTCTCCTTGCAAGCTTAAGTTTTCTTGAAGAGGAAGAGGAATCCAAGAAGTGAGAGACGAGGAGTGACCCGGTGGTCCACAGAGGAGTTTCTGCTGGTCCTGCTTGTTCTGCCATTATGGGTTCGGCCCTAGTTGCTCTGTGTTTGCCTTGCTGTTCACTTACCTTCAGCCATCAGCAGCCTTCCTTACTCCTCTATATTGCTTCCCTGGCTACTTCACAGGTACTGCTAGACTTGCACTCTGGCCGCTCGTAACTTTAATTCCCACCTGGCCTTTACATCATGGCCCTGCTGTGTACCCGTTCAGTTTCTGCTTTTTTTTTGCTTGTTATCTCTCTATTTCTTATTTACACCTGTAAGAATGAACATCTAGTCTAAGTTTTCTTGCCAGGGAAGAGCGTCCATGCCAGAGCACTTCAAAGGCTAGCACTATGTGCGTGCCACACTTACTCTGAGTCGCTAGGCGAGACCAAGTGTGAGCTGGGTCTTGGGTCTGTACATGGTTGGCTGCTGGCCTCACCTTGGTAGCACAGCAAAGGGATGGGCAGCAGCGCCCTCTGTTGCAGCGGTGGGCATGGGAGACACATGGAGAGCTCTCTGGGCAGTGGGGCTTGAGGAATGGGTAGGCTTTGGGTAGGCTGTGATAAGAGGAAGAGTGTCCTGGGAAGAGGGCATGTGGTTGACCCCTAAAGAGGGAGCTGAGAGTGGACAAAGAAGAGGCTGGATCACACCTGTTCTGATGGCCAAGTAGAAGAGGGGAACTGTTTTGTTAGGCAACAGATCATCTCTGTAGGCCATTAGCAGGGGAATCAGTTGCCTCTCCTATCTGCTCCTGATTCCTGCTGTCAAAACAGACTTAGGATTACTAAGAGGCCACTGATGCCACCCAGGTGTGTGGTAACGTGAACTTGAAATAGTCAGCAGAAGGTTGCAGGATTGGGGAAAGAGCAAGTGGTGCGCTGACCTTAGCAACAACTGGATGGGGCAGCTGCATTACCACGAGGGAAGGGTGTCCCTGGGGAGCGGTGGCTTCCATTTCAGAAGCAGGGAGTGCAGCAGGCCTATGCTCAGCATGCAACTTCCATGCCTTTATTCATGGGAAAGTGGGGAGACTGAGTTTTTGAACCATCTCTGCCCGCTTCGTCCTCACAAACGTCTGTTCTGGTCTCTCCTCCCTATGCCCAGCTGGTCAGTTCTCTTACTCCAGCTCTTTCTGGCAGAGCTGACCTGGAAGACAGTGTTCTGGTGAGTTTTCCATGTTACAGTCCGACCAGTCATCTACTCCAGTCTCAGCCAGCGCCACTCTGTGTTCTGCTTCTGACCCTGTCAGCTGGCTGGGTTCATTAAAATGCTGCTAGGGTGTGGCTTTGGAATGTGGTGGGAGCATTTTGAAAAGTTTTGTGGTCCATCAAATGCTTAGCTTGACTTTTAATTTTTTTTGGCTTTCTTTGTATTGTTCGTTACTAGAACAATAAGTGATTTCTGAAAAAATTAAGAAGAATGCAGGTAAAAAAAATATCTGGATATGCAGGAACGTGACTACAAATAAAGATTCCAAAAAGAGAGGGCCATTATTTGCTGCCTGCACGGGTTCCCTAACACAGGTGGGAAAGTCCCTTAAGTTTTCTGGGCAAAGAATAATATCTCCTGTGCCTACCTCCAAATGTCTTGAGATACTCAAATGAGGTAGGGGTGTGTGAAATGCTTCATAAGTGTCAAAGCCTGCTACAAATTTGCGGTATTAACTAATGAGACATTTAAAAGTGGTTTGATTTACATTGAGTAGAAACTCATCTAATTTGGAAGTGATATAATGATTACTAATCACGTGTATTGATTCCTAACCACAGCTCTCAGCTTCTCTGTGTGACTTTCCTTCTGACCACCCCAGAGGACCCTGACTGTTTCTCTGAGAAGCAGCTTCTGCATGGTGCATGGTCATTCAGCACTTCTGGGAGCACCCATTCTCCTGGCCCTGTTTCATGCCATTCTCCCAAAGAACCCTTAGCCCGAGGTTTCAGATGTCAAAGTGATAGATGTTTCATTGCAAAGATGATATCTAAAGGTTATGTCACAGCCCCCAATTTTTAAAAAATCAATTAATTGTATTGGTATATTTAAGATATACAATGCAGTGACATTCATCATTGGAAATTCGCACCTTTACATAATCCATCTTGGTTCTCATTTTTTCCCCATTCCCCTGCCCTCCCCTCAACCTTGCCACCCCTTCCTATCTACAAAGACTTTGTCTCCATTTTTTCTTTTCTTCGTGTTAATTCCATTCCCCAAATTTTATAATCTCCTTTTTGAGGTGTTCCCGTGCAGAATTAATTTCTGGAATGGTGTATGGAGGCGGTTTCTGGGGATAGTGGGTAGAATGCCCTCCCAAAGATTAATTCCTTGTGACAGTGTGCTCCGAAGCAGGTAGCCGGATGGCTTTTTGGCAGTAATACCCCTCCCTTTCTTTCCTAGCTTCCTTTTGTCCTAAAGCTTGCCCTCTTTGTGTCCACCTCTTGGTTGTGTGAAAGTGGCCCTTTGCAAGTAGCCCCTACTCTTAAGGTAGATGGGCAAGATGGGACAAAGCCCTGGCTCCTCCTCCCCACGGCATCAGTTTTGTTTCTTTCCCCAAAGCCTAAAAGAGCTTTTTGTTTTTTCCTGTACTGCTTCTTCCTGTTTGCTGGGCACTTAAATCTTTGCATTTGACACCCCTGCCCTCTAGTGGCAGGTTGGACGCACCCCTTTGTTACCCTGTTTATTGTGCCGCTTTGACATCTCTTCTCAGGGCTCAGCTCTGTTACTGAGAATTACCATATCCCCAACTACAAGTGTGGAAAGATAGGGTCAGTGACCTTGACTCGCCACCCAAGTAGGACCTGGGGACATGGGATTTGAATTGGCACTTTTGACTCCTAGATTTATACAATGTGAGTGCAACAGAACAAAAGAGATCATGTGGTTGTAGCTGTTCTAATGGGTTTTAATTATGGTTTAAATATAATCTAAATTATTTTTCTCTCTACTCAGCTGATCAGAAGGGATCAAAATGTGGTAAATAGTTGAAGATAAAGATGATTTTTTTTTAACCCTTCATCACACTGGAAACATTTTTACCACTCACGAAATGTTCAGTATTTCATGCACAGTCCTGTTAACAACTTTGAGCACTACAAAAAGGTGTAAAGCTTGATATCTACCCTTCAGTTTATGTTGCAGTTACATTTTAGTTATGACACAGATAAATTTGTTCCCTCTAGGGAACATTTCGTATGAACTCTTTTCTCAATAAGTATAATGCATAATAACTTTTATTGGTGTTTAAATTTTCTACTTCAGCTCACTAAAGGCAGGCACTCTGAGCATTTCCTTTTTACTTTTAAAGTCCTTTTCAGTGGAGAGAGAACTGCAGGATAACAGCAGCAATTACCCGGATGAGCCCTGGAGGATAACTGAAGAGCAGCGGGAATACTACATCAATCAGTTTCGATCCCTTCAACCAGACCCCAGTTCCTTCATTTCAGGTGAGAATGTGGGGATCCGTGGACATTGTCCTCACACAAGTAATGGTAAACATGTTGAGGAAACAGTTCACACAAAATGAGTATGACAGCCTTCCAGGATTTCGGTTTGTCTTCCTTTGAGGAGGAATTTCTTATCAAATAGAAATCATGCAGAAAAAAGATGGCAATTACATTGGGAAAATTATGTTGCTGTCTCAGAGAGGTTAAATGGAATTTGGGAGAATCTGGTCTAGACCCTGAACCTTATTAGCTGAGGCAGTTCTTGAAATGGTAAATAAATTGTAGCTCTAAAGGGACGTGTTAAATTGCTTACTCATTATATTACAGCCAGAGCAAGGGTGGAGTGTAGCCTTCTAAAGAATTAGTTTCACAAGTTTCCTTATGTTTTACACACCCTACAAGGTTAAACTCAGGCTCGTTTTCTTTGGCTCAAATCTTTCTGCTCTGGTTTTTCTGAGAGAAATTAAAATGTGGAAGGAAAATTGGCTAGCATTTTTCCACATGTCAGTCCTTCTGGGTTGTCTTCAGATATATGTATTCCTGTAGGTAGACTTCTCATGTAAAATTCAAGTGGAGAGGAATTGATTTAATTCCTCTGTATGCTTACATTTTACCAGGCTGAAGATAAAACAAACAGTGAAACAGAGTCTGCAAGAAAAACTCACACAACTTTTTATACTTCAATTTTGAAGAATAACAGTGTGTTCTTGATAATTGTAACCTGACATATTGAAGTGTGGGTTAACACTAGTTTTTGTCGTTAAAATAAGGTGTGTAATTGAGATATACTTATATAACGAGATGTAAACATCATTTTCTGATTGGTGGTAATAACTTTATTGAAAGCAGAATAGTATAGATAAAACAAACTAACATTACCATCAGTATTTAAAGCCATGAACAGAATCCCAGATTGTATGTGTTAGCCCACTTGCTAACCTTACCTCTACTCAAGTGAGTTTCTTCTCAACATATGCCAAACACAGATATGTGTATGTTAAAAGTGGTTTTACTGTCTTTTAACTTGTTATGCAGAATTTCAAATGTAGATACAACCAGTCTAGCTGATATAACAAACTCTTATTTTACCTGTGACACAGCAGCAATGATTTTGTTTTCCATTCAGCCTAGATGATTTTTAATTGCAATTACCACACTGTTCATTTGAAAACTATTTCAGGTATATCTCTAAAGTCTCCTGAAAGAGTATAACTGCAAACTATTGACACATATGAAGAACAGAAACAAACCAAATTCTTTCGCATCAAGTCTTCATTGTTGAAATTTCCCTGTCTCATAAATGCCTTTTTCTGTTTATTTATTTACTTTTGGTGGTACTGGAGATTGAGTCTGGGTAGTGCCGAGCCACATCCTCGGCCATTTATTTATTTATTTAATCTTCGCCTAGGATGTCATTGTGTTGCCCACGCTGGCCTCAAACTTGCACTACTGCCTCAGCCTCTGAGTAGCTCAGATTATTGGTGCGCACGACCACACCTGGTTCATGAGTGCCTTTAAAATTGTTGTAGTTTGATCGCAATTAAAATAAGTTCATTTATTGCAATTAGTTCATGTCTCTTTTTTAAGAACATCTTGATTGTTATATGTATGGTTCACATACCATAAACTTCACCATTTAGAGTGAGCAATTCAGCGGTTTTATTATATTCACAGAGTATATTCACAATCTAAATTTAGAACATTTTCATCACCAGCCAATAAATGACCAACGTAGTAGGAATCATTCAAGCCCTTCCCACCTCCTGTTCCTGGGTAGCCAGTATTTGACTTCCTCTCCCTATGATTTACCTGCTCTAGGCTTTGCATATAAATGGAATCTATGTTTCTGGTGGGTGGCAGTGGGGCTGGAGTGCGGGTTCCAGTGCATAGTTTGTACTTCCTACATGGCCAGTGTCAAAGCTGGGAGCACTCAGGCTTTCTCCTCAGCTTCCTCCTTTGGTGGCACGGTCAAGGCACACGTGAACTTACTAGCTGTCAGCTTCTATGGTCCTCACCTAACTTTTCTGAGGCATTGTGGTACACTCTGAAGGCCAGGCCAGGTCTCCAGCTGTGGGTTTGTATGTTTGGTATGCTTTCAAGAAAGGAGATGTAGGGGAAATGAAACTGAAACAAGAGGAAGGTGTCTCTCTAGTTATAAGATAGCTGGTCAGCAGGCTTGCAGGAGTTCTGACAGATGTTTGACAGAGTCGTTGCACTGTTGGCCAAGAGTCATGTATCAATATTTCCATGACACTTCTGGGGAGAAAGCTTGTTGGTTTATAGGGTAGTTTGCCTTTGATCCTTGATAATCTAGCACAGGAAAATAAGTGTGTATTAGGGCCCAGTATAACCCATTATTTTAAGGCCATTTAGAAGACTCGTGATTGGCATGGAAAAACTTTTGGCTTTATCAATTTAGAACAGAATTTGGGGCTACGATTTAACTATTCTTTTGGTAGTTAATTAGAACTGAGGCTTTTGAACTATGAAACTCTTGAGAGCTCAAAGCATAAAAACTTGAATCTTAGTGAAGACTAACATTTCAAGTGCAGGTGGAACTCCCAGTTATACAACATGTACAATGGAATGATTGCCTGCCTTTAGTTGATATAGGTAAATTTACAACAACTAAAGAAAAATTCGTTTTATAGGTAAATGGATGCACATTGAGGCCATACTCTTAAGTGAAGTAAATAGGACACACATGTAAATACCGAATACTTTCTCTGGTGTGAACAACTAAAAGTGTAAATAAAATTCAAATTGTATAATTGATAATGTGAAGTAGGAAGAAAAGGGCTAAAGAGTAAGGGAAGTGGGAAGGGTAGGGGAAAGGAAGGAAGGGAAAAGAAAAAAATATGAGAAAAGGACAAAACATGGAAATAATATCTTTGTAAACAGGGAAGGGTAGAGGGGGTGAAGGGAGGGCTGGGGGAAAATAAGAACCAAGTCATGTAAAGGTACAAGATCCCAAAGATGAATGTAACTCTACTGTATACCTAAAATGTACCAATAAACTTAATGAGAAAAAAAAAAAGAAAAATTCCTGGACAAAGTCCTCAAAAAGCCACCAAGAGATCTTAAACCTCCCCAAAATGATTTCCCAAGATGTCTGTTAATGAGACCAATGGTATTAATTTTCTCTTTCTTGTTCATTTTTCTTTTAAGAGTAGGAAAAATTTTTTGAGGGAAAGAAAGCTTCTGTCTAAGAGAGACAGAAGGGGGAACGGAAAGTGGGTTGCCCCTCTTGTTCATTTTTCGGCCATAACTGTATGTTACCTTTCCACTTTTTAAATGTAAGTGCTTAACGTATTTTTACTTAAATAATTTTGAAATTTGTCTTTGGAATTTTTAGTAAAATTTTGCAGTTTTTTAAAAGATCAAAGCAGGAATTAATTTATGTGATTTGCATCTGTCATGTGGATTATATCATTACTTCTTTTGCCCTGTTCTAATCTATGTATTTTAAAAGTTGTTCACATGTTGCTTTTATTTTTATTTGTTTAATTATTTTGTGGTGCCCACACTAGGCATGCCATAGGTTGTTCTCAGTCGTGTGATTTTTAATTGTTTTGAGGAATAAATGTGTTTATGGCTATGTGGTGGAGACTGTTGAATGAAAAAAGCAGTGATTCATTTACATATACAAATAAAAGCTTCCCTAGATAAGTAATTAATGCTTTATTTAAACAATGGTTTTTTGACAGGTTCTGTGGCCAAGAACTTCTTCACCAAGTCAAAGCTTTCCATTCCAGAACTCTCTTATATATGGTGAGTACAGTTATTGCCAGTACTAACATTACCACAATATTTATCCTTTAGCATTTGTAAGAGGCTTATTTGTTGAATTTTTTTTAACAGACTAAGAGAGTATACAACATAGATTTCTGTTGCTGTCAAGGTTAAATAAATTACACGAAAAGTGCAGCGAACAGTAAATAGCACATACTATGCACCATAAATGTTGACTTACAAAGCAATTTCCCAATTATTATCCCCATCCCAGTCCCTTTTCAGTCTAGGCAGTGGTGGGCATTGAGACTTTCTGTCTTTGATATTTTAGTTTCGGATTTTTCTAATTGGACTGAGGCAAGTAACTAGAGGACCTTACAAAGCTATTCTTTATAATATTTTATAAGGTTAGGTGAATAAAAGGTCCAGGAAAATTTTGGAATTTAGTGAAATTTGACTCTCCTGGCTGCCTCTTAGCTTCCTAAATTTGGCCAGGGTTTCTCAGCTGGGCCCTAGTTCAGCCTTGCAGCTGTAGCACTGTTGCTACACCTTGCTGAAGAGCCTGCAGTGGTAGCTCTAGCTCCAGAAGGGCTATGCTGACACGTTCCAGATGGCTCTATTTGCATCTGTGAAAATGCTCAGCGTCATAAACTCTTGGCTGTGTGCAGGCTAGTTTTTCCCTAAGACTGGGCAGGAGTTTGTGCTGCTATAAATACATAATTAAAATTTTGGAATATTTATCTAAAGCTTTTTTCATGAGGTTTCATAAAAATATGATGGGATTTACAATAGCATGTCATGTTTTGTGCGTTTTATTGAAAAATTATTACAATAGTACTCACACATGCCAGTGTATCTGGACTGGATTTAGGTTCTTCAAACAATATACTCTGGCATAATTTTTTTACAATAATTCTTATATTGGATTTTAAAGCTAGAAAAAGAGAGAGACTGTCATTTTGAGGACAATACAGCTTGTTTTGGCGGAATTCCAAGCCTTAATATTACTGGCATGAGGCTTCCCATCTATTTTTGTCAAGACACGCTCATGAAGGCCAAATGATAGTCTGTCCGTCAAGCATTTGCAGCAGTTCCCTGGGGTCTTACCCTGAGAAGCAGTTGTCTCAGGCCTGGTGCATTCTGAATTGGAGGAGGAAGAAGGGGAGAAGGTGGGGGAGGGGAGGGAGGCGAAGGAGGAAGGGAAGGGGAGGCAGAACAGCAGAATCTAAAAGGAAGTTGTGGAGCTTATTTTCTTTCCAATAGTAACACCTTTCTAGTACAATCTTGTGCAAGTCCTGTCTCTGTACCTGTCCTAGTACAAGTATGTTGCTCTCTGTACACGGAGAGATGGAGCCTACCGGGTCTTAGTTCCTTTGGTGAATAGGTTTCTTTTGTGCTGAGTAAACAGGTCTGTGCCTTTCAGAGGGAAACTGACTGAAGGGAAGATAAGCCTTTTCAAGACTCCCTTTCTTGCTTTTTGTCTTATCTGGTTCCAGCCTTCCCTAGTTGCTAGTTTTATCTTAAAATATAAGTCAGTGACTGTTTACTGGGCTTATTTGTATTTTTCCAAGAGGGAGTTTTTCAAGCAAAGAACGAACAGTTTGCTACAAAATTTACATGACGTGGAAAGTTCAAGGTTTCCCCCCAGTGCTGAGAAATGAAGCACCCATTTATTCCTGTGTTCTGGGTAACTTGCATAACTTGCAATCTTCCTCTGCCTGTTCCACGAGCTAGGTTGAGCTCGCCCCACCATGCAGCCTGCATTTATTGAATGACTGTCAGCTAAGTGGGTACACGCAGGCATTACTTTTCTCTGTGTATTAATGTTTCTTTTGTTGTGTTCTCAGTGTTGTAAGACAGAGCTGGGGAATGCTGTTTGCAGGTTTGCGGCTGAACCTTATTGCAGGTACTAATGACATCTGTTATGTCTAGGGAACTTAGTGATGCTGACTGTGACGGAGCTCTGACCCTACCTGAGTTCTGTGCTGCATTTCATCTCATTGTGGCCCGGAAGAACGGCTACCCACTGCCTGAGGGCCTGCCTCCAACTCTGCAGCCAGAATATCTGCAAGCAGGTAAGGCTTCATTGTACATCCTTAATTTTCGACACTTGCCATGGAGGTCTAAGCTTTTATGTCTCAAAATGGTGTCTGGGCATTGGAGAGTCTGTGGTTTGTGCAGTTATTTTTCATTAACTTATATCAGATCTTTACAGCTTATAATGTGAATAATAGGGCTCATATGGCTAGGTGTGAATCATCTCTTCCTCTCTTGCTGATACTCTCTGGGTGGATTGGAACCAAAGTCATTTACCCTTTTGTGACAACTGTGGAATAAACAAATACTGAACGTCTCAGCTGATATAATATGAAAGGAAGATCTTGGAGAGCCAAGTGCCAGCTGAGTCATGTCCTAGAGCAGTGATGGTGAACCTTCTAGAGCTTTCAGTGGTACCATCAGCCTGCTCCTGCACGTGTACCATAGTTCGCCACCACTGCCCCAGTATGTCCAAGTGGCCTCGGCTCAGGGAGTAGAATACAACTCTTACACTTAATTGGAAAGTTAAAAGTTACATACAGGGAAATGTGCAAAGTGTTGTAATTTTAAATGTACACTTAGTGAGTTTTTATATATGTGTATACCTATGTAACTGTAAGATTATATATATATATTATGGATATATATTGCCAGCACACCAGAAGGCTGGAATATAACTTTTTTTGTATTTCTCCTTAATAAAATAGTACTCCCCAAACAAATGTTTTGAACTGTTTGGATAGGGAAAGTTCATAGTAAGGCCAACACTGGTATGAATTCCTAAATCAAGAATACTTTTGCCCTCTTCAGAGTCAATGGACACTGGTCTGATTTCTATTATTCAGAGAAGTGGTTTCCATTGAGAAAGTCCAGAAACAGCTGGTGCTTTTGCCTTTCCAACTGGAAAAAATTTTAAAGCTCTCTTTAAAAATGAGAGTTTAGGGCTGGGGATTTAGCTCAGTCCACCTGCCTTGTAAGCACAAGGTCCTGAGTTCGATCCCCAATACCAAAAAAAAAGAAAAAGAGAGAGAGAGAGAGAGCTTAGTCATAGGTAATAGGTGATTATTAGCAAGAGGGAGTGGTGTCTAAAGAAACTAAAACCAGACCAGTAGACTAGCATGTGGCTAGGGACCATGACAGATGAACATGTTGAAGGCAGAATGGCCCATTTTCAAATTTTCCTCAAATGACCCTGAAAAATGAATATGGAAGGGCGAGCTCAGAGAGAAAAATTAACTGTTGATCTCAGGGCTAGGACTTTGCTAATAACAGCTTCCTTTTGCCCATAGTAGGTTGTAACTCTCGCTTGCTGCCGTTCTTTCAAGGCTGCGGGAGCTCTCGCATGGGTCCTTGGGAATTAGCTTGCAGTTGAGCAGCATGGTAAACTGGTCTTTCCTCTTTGGTGTCTGTCTATCTCCTGTCTTTTTTCTTTCTCCTCCCCTCCACTCCCCTTTCCCTTTCTCCCCTCCATTCCCTCTCACCCTCTTCCTTTCCTCTCCCTTTCCTTATCCCTCTCCCTTCCTCCCTTCCTCCCTTCTTTTTCTCTTGGATTGCAACAAAGAAGCCTGACATTCCTAGAGCTGTCCTTGCAACCACATGGCTCCTATTACCAAGGTCACAGAGGAACCCTTTCTTCTGGGACTGGGGCTTTTGTCTGTCTGTAATGGAGATAACAGCTGGCCAAAGGACCAAAGTCTGTTCCAAGGTTATTTACTTATATTCACTGCCTTCACAGTTTCCTCTCTGGCCCTGGGGAGAGTCCTAAATAACATCATCTCCCATGACCATAATTAGTTTTCCATTTTGCTGTTGATTAATTCTGTTTTATTGTTTTGCAGCCTATATCACATACCATGACTCCTTGTTTGAGAAGTCACTTTGAAGGTGTGCAGGTGGTTCATGGACTTTTTCAAAAATCACTGATACAATTTTTGTAAACCTGAAAGCCCTAAATTAAAAGTTGTTAACAAAGAGAAATAACCTCTTGATTTCTTTACTGCTGAAAATGGCTCCTTTTGAATTGCTTATTCAGTAGAGGGGAGGCTATAAAAAAGAGTGCCAATCAAGAGACATCCTGTGTCACTTGGAATAGAGCTCCTTGTCTCTTACTGGTTTTTATGGAGACCATCAGCATGCATTTATACAGGAACAACTGAAGAATTCATCACATACTCTTAAATTATACAAAAAATGAACATCATTTTCAGAGATTGTGGGCTTTATATTAAATAGTAATTATATAGTTCTAACAGAAAACGTGAGAGACTGCATAAACCCCATCAAACTTAGTGACAGTATATTTTAGGCAAACCCTGAAGATTTAGCAGTTAGTTTTTAAATGCTAATCCATGTTTTTCTTTGTATGAAGCTTAAGAAAAGGCCAGAACTATCTAGTTCTCTGTGCTTTTAAACTCTTTGAAAAGCATGAATGGTCCTGTCCATTTTTTTCTGTTGTTTGTATGGAATCCCATGTAGCTTTTTTAAAAAAGCTTACCTCTTATCATATTCTAACATTTTTCTCATTGATCCATATTCAGCCTTTTAAAAATGATCCAGTTTTCAACAAGATTATTGAAGAATATAAATCTGGTTGAAATGATCACATATTCAAAATTATGAAAGCTTTTATTAAATACAGTAATTGTATCTGATGCCATTTTACTTGTAATTATAGAAATAACCCTTTTCCCCTAGCAGTGAAAGTTAAAAGGCAGAGTTCGAAGAACAAATTGGATTGCTGGTGGGTTACCTATGAGCCCATTGATGTTTTCATGTCTAGGTAACTGAGTGCATTCTGGTAGAATTTTTTTTTTTTTTTGCTGCATAGTTGGTTGAAAAACTGGTGAATACTTACAATGTGAGAGGTACTGCTGTTCTCTGTGGTGAGAATACTTGTGCAAAAGGGTTCTTACTGCATGGCACTTGTGGGCAGTTGGACGATAGATGTTTATTAAGTTCACACACGTCATTGGAGCCAGGGATAAATGCCACGAGTGGGTGCAAGTGCAGTAAGGACATGTACGACCTCAGGGAAGACTTGACTGTCGGTGCTGAGATGTAATGGACGAGCTCATGTGGAGGATGAGCTAAGGGCTGTGGTGCTAAGAAAGGGAAGAGAGGTCTCTATGATGCATGAGCAGCAGGTATGCTGGAGAGGCACTGGAAGGGGCTTGGAACACAGGAGAAATAGAAATTCAGGCCACACTGGCTGGAGTGCACAAAGTGAGGATGAGAGGCCAAAAAAAGGCTGAAAAGTAAGATAGGAAGCAAGTGGTGAGCAATAACATTGACCTGCGTGTCTTAGTTACTTTTCTTGTTGCTGAGACAAACTACGCAAAACCCAAAGTAAAAGGAGGAAAGGTTTATTGTGGTTCACAGTTTGTAGAGGTTTCAGTTCATAGTTGGCTGTCTCCAAGGCTGGGTGGCATGGCAGAGGGGCATTGTGGAAGAAAAAAAGTTCATGGCAGGCAGAAAGCAGCAACACAGCAAGTGAGAGTGACAAGGGACAGATTCTTTCTGTCCCTTTTATATTGTATCCAGACTATCTTGCCTCAGGTGGGTAGCACTCATACCCAGGGCGGGACATCCTTAATCCTACCCAGAACTGTGTGGAACCAATCCCAGCATCACACACTCTAGATCCTGCCACCCCTGAAAAGCTCCACCTATGCACTGAATGAATGAGGCTTTGGGGATCTAGACACAAGCCATAACACGGTGTTTGGCAGGAGAGTGATAAGTCAGATTTTCTGTCTGAAATGACCAGGATGGTTGCTCTTCAGAAAGCAAATGTTGAAGAACAAGAATGGAAACTATGAGAATTTAGATAGCAGTCCCTGTCAGGAGCAGTGGGGACTCACCCTTGGGTGGTGACAGTGGAGATGGAGAGATGTAGATATATTGAAGAGAGATTTAGCAGTTAATTGTTATTCCTAGTTTTGAAAGACATTCACTTTCTACATAAAGCCTTCCTATGATAAGACATTGGTCTTATACTTCTAGCCAGAGCACTGAATTGGTGTACTAGAAAGAGAACTCTGATATTCTGATATTGGGCAAAACTGCTCTTGGGGTTGGATTGAAGAATGGTGCTTTGAAACGTGTTGAGTTTTTACCAAGGAAACAGACCACCAGATATGGTGAGAAAAATCAGCAGGGCCCGTGATTTGCCCCATTTGATATCAGTGAAGTTTAGACTCTAGTAAGGACATGAGCTAAAATGTGTTTGGCTTCCAGTGGTAGCTGATGCCCTGACTAGTACTTTACTGCAGAGCAATGTTGGCATTTCAGTCCCTAGTACCAGTGGGTAAGGTTTAAAGACAATGTCAACCCATTTTCCACATATGATTAAAAATTTCTTTTGAAGCATTGAATTAAAATGATGAGTGAAACAAGTCAGACACAGAAGATTATCACTTGGTTTCTCTTATTTGAGAAACCTAATATAAATTAATTAAATAGTAAAATAAAGGAGAGATGGTAGAAAACAAGGAGATAGACTTATTGGCGATGGGGGAAAGGCTGAGGGGAAGTGGAGAGAGGGGATTGGAGGGGTATGGTAATGATCAAGATACAGATATATATATGCACCAGTTTCTCACAATGAATGTAATTATTAAGTATCACAGATATATACCAATTCAAAGTTTGGCTTCTTAATAGCTTTCTTGACAAATTTAATTTGTCAATTTTCTGTTTATTATCTGCTACAGAATGCTTTTCCTCTTCAAAATATTGACAAATTTTCTAGTTGAGATATTTCTGTTTTAATTACTTTGTGACAAAATGGTAAAGCCGAATCTGCTTCTAAGAAATAGCTGGTTCTTAGGTAATTAGCTTACCAAGTTGCATGGTAGTTTTCCTCATGTTAATTCATCTAGCTACCCAACTAACAGCCATTGTCACTGTTGTATGTTGGGAGAAACCCATAATGTGTGTCTTATTTCCCTTAAATTTGGTAAGAATTTATGCTTTTATTTTTATTAGTCCTACTAACCAAAGGAGTAAGCATTTTATAATGTTATCTTGGACATACATCATTATAAGTCCTGTTTATTTCCAACAACAGCTACAATCAAGTATTTTCTTAGTTAATATTCATAGTTCAAACTGTTACCATGGTTACTACATTTAAAAACTCTGCTAGTAGCATAGTGAAAACTTTACATACTGAGAGTGATGGTTAGTGTAGAAAATGACTAGCATGAGGAGCTGGGTGTGGTGTGTTCTATAATCCCAGCTACTCTGGACGCTGAGGCAGGAGGATTCCATGTTTGAAGCCAGCCCAGGCAATTTAGTGATACTCTATCTCAAAATAAAACATAAAAAGGGCTGAGGATGTATCTCAGTAGTAGAGTGCTTGCTTAGCAAGTGGGAGCCCTTGGGTTCAATTCCCAGTCTCTCTCTCTCTCTGTCACACACACACACACACACACACACACACACACACACACACACACATGAGTGCGTGTGCACACCTACAGAAAAAGAGAGAGAGAAAGAGACAGACAGAGAAAGAGAGAGAGAGTGCTCTTAGCGCTGTTAGGAATTCAAGTCTCTGTTCTTCATTACTAGCTATATAACCTTGAGTAAGTTGCTTAACTTCCCTGTTCTTCAGTTTCATCATATGTAAAACAAGGATCACACAAATATGGGATTGTGTTAATAAAGAATTTAAAATACTATGTCAGCGTGATTAGTGGTATAAGTACTATAATAGGACAAAATTTGTTATATTTACCAAGCACAGAAAAGCTGATAGGAAAAAAAAACCACTGTGGCTGTAGCATATTATGTATTCTTTTTCTTTCTTCTTAGCTTTTCCTAAGCCCAAGTGGGAGTGTGCATTATTTGATTCGTACTCTGAGTCAATGCCGACAAACCAACAAGCCCGTGACCTGAATCGGATGGAGGTAATAGATCTCTATGTTAATAAATAAGGATGTGTAGAGAATTAAGTTACTAGCCTATGTTCTTTTCAAACTTGAGAAAATGAACCTTTGTACCATTTTCTCTTCATACTTGATGATTAGTTTGAAGATTGGCTTTTCAAATCTATAGACTGGATGTGTCTATAATTATTTTTTTCTTTTCCCCCTAAAACTGGATTTGGTGAAGTAAGCAACATCTCTTGGCCTTTGAAGTGAAATTTAGGTATAGCCAAACGAAGCCAGAAAATGCTAACCAACTTATTCACTTTAACCAAGCTTTAATTCCCTGGTGAATAATATAAGTTGAAGTTTTAGTAGCTGGGCATTAGCAAGGTAAAGTGGACCACAACAGTTCTCAAAGAGGTTTGAGAACTACATGTCTATACATGGGGCTCAAGTCACATTCAAAGCTCCCTCAGTGTTTTTAACTTTTTGACCAGAAGAGGATTGATTTGGATGATCCCCAAATTCCTGCAGTGTTGGGCCATTGGTAGAAGAAGGTCATAGCCATGTGTGGAGTGATCCTTAGCTGTGAATCAATAAATCAGAGTGGTTATCTTTACCTCTGTCATCATCATCATTATGATACCTGCTGTTTCCTTCCTAAAAAAATCTAGAAGCAGGACTGGGGGGTGTAGTTCACTGGTAGAGTGCTTGCCTAACAGGTGAAAGGCCCTTGGTTCCATCCTTAGTACTCCCTGCTCCCAACTCTGGGAGTATTTTTAAAAATTTAAAAAATGTGATTGTCAAATACTATTTGTATATATTTATGGGATATAATGTAATCAGTTTGTGTATGTATTGTAATGATCAAATCAGGGTAAGAAAATGTTTAAATAAATGGAGTTTATTCACTGGTTCCCATTGAAACCCTCTGAAACAATTTGGAACTATACAGGATGGCAACAGTCAAAGGCAGGATGTAGGGACTTCTTCATTTCTCAGGACGCTGTGTGCTTATTTACCCTCTCACACGGGGCTCTTGAGCCTATAGTGTGTGTTAGTGATATTGCGCTGTGCACCCCACCAGACAGCTAAGCCTGCCTCTCCGGGGCTCCCTCTGATCAACACCTCTTTTTGCTGTTCTACTGTTCTTTCTTTGAATTGTAGCCTTCATGACACTTTTCTCAGCATATTTCTACTCACCAAGAAAAGATATAAAGAAAAGTGATTTCAGGAGGACTGATGTACAGTGTATATATATTTGAAGAATTTTTTTCAATTTCTTTTTCTGCAGAATGTATTTGATGAAGAAGTAGGTGCAGTAACGCTGTTTTCCATGGCTCTCAGTTTACTCTGGGCTCTGGAGAGGTTTGTCTATCAAACTAGGGTGGATAACTCCATAGCTCTCTGACCGGTTGCCTCGTGGGAGAGGTTTTAATGTGTGTGCCATGGCCTTGTGCTTGGGGGAACATTATGAGGTCATTAGGTGATTTTCTTAAAAATGTCATATAAATTCTTGTGAACAGATCGTTTTAACTTACTGTGGTATAAGATGGTCTTTGCCCTTCCAAAAGAGACAGATGACGCAATATTGTTTTTCTTCTTGGTAGAAATTATGTTGCTGATTCATGTAGTTATTTATCATCTGTGTAAAAGGAAAGAGGAGCAAATACACAGGTAGCCACAGGTTTGTTTTACACACACACACACACACACACACACACACAGATACAGACAGACCCCCCCCTCGCATGACAATATGTACACCTTTATGGGTGTTATGTGTAGCTAGTTTCATATACTTTTGTAGACTTTACCTAGCTCCTTTGGGAAGAAAGGGTTGAAAACTACTTAGTCTTCTTTTTCTTTGTCCAAACAAGATAGCAAAAGAACAATAAAAATCCCTCCTTCGAACCACATTGTTATTTTTGAGGATGAGATGTTTTTAGATACTGAATGTAGTAAACCAAATCAAGGATGAAATGATAAAATTAGTTGATAGTTTGGCCACTCAGGAAGTATAGGTCATATCTTGATAGCTAATGATTAAATATTTCATTATTCTTTCTCTGAGTTTTTAAAATCTCTCATGACTGCCTGGAATATAGATTTTGGTACCAGCTCTGTGAGTTATGACTTCAGTACAGTGTAGGTGTTTGTGTTGTCAGCAAACCTATAGCTAATTGAGGTCTAGCTCCTGAGAAGCTTGCGTAGCTGTGCATCTTTTTCTAAAGACAGACAGCAGAGCTGTAATCCTGTACTTATTTTCTTCCAGAATTATAGATTACAAGTAGCTTATTCCTTTTTCGCAATGTTATTTACATTACTGGATTTCTTTCTTTTAAAAATTGCTTTATTGAGAAATAAATGACATACCACACCCACTTAAAAATACAATTCCAGTGGTCTTTCGTGTATTAGTAGACTTGTTTAACTATCACTGCAGTCCTATCTTGGAACATTTTCATCTCCCCAAAGAAGTATCCTATACTCATTAGCAATCTTTGCCATTCCCCCCTCTCCATCAGATTCTAACAGCCTCTAATTTATTTGTTTCTGAATTTACTTAGGCAGAACATTTCATATAAGTTAAATCATATAGTATGTGGTGTTTTGTGACTGGCTTCTCTTAGTTTCTCTCTCTCTTTCTGTGTGTGTGTGTGTGTGTGTGTGTGTGTGTGTGTGTGTGTGTATTGGGCACTGAACATTGGGTCTTCACATTAAGCTACATCCCAATCCTATTATTGTTATTATTATTATTATTGTTTTAGTACAAGGGATCGAACTCAGGACCTTGTGCTTGGGAGGCAGGTGCATCTTTTATTATTTTTTATTTTGAGGCAGAGTCTTGGTAAGTTGTCCAGGCCAGGCTTGAACTTGTGATCCTCCTGCCTTAGCCTCCCTGACTACTGGGATTACAGGTGTGCACCACCGTACCCAGCTTAGCATAGTGGTTTTAGGGTTCACTCATGTCATAGCACTTATCAGTGCTTTATTCCTTTTTATTGCTTGAATAGTATTCGTAGTATGGTTATGCCACATTTTGTTTGTTTATTCATCAGTGAATGGATGTTTATATTGTTTTCCTTTTTTAGCCATTATTAACAGTGCTTCTGTGAATGCACATGTATAACTTTTTGTGTGGACATATGTTTTCAGTTCTTTTTGGAACATACCTAAGAGTGGAATTGTGAATTGTATCGTAACTCTGTGTTGAACTTTTTGAGGGATTGCCAAACCTCTTTTCAAAGAGGCTGTACTATTTTCAGCCTCACATCAGCAATGTATGAAGTTTCAACTTCCCCACATCCTTTGTAACACTTATTGTGTGTGTCTTTTAGATTAGCAATCCTAGTGGAAAAAAGTGGTATCATGGTGGTTTTGATTTGAACTTCCTAATGACTAATGTGGTCTAGTATCTCTTCATGTGCTTATTAACTGTTGTGTCTCTTCTCTGGTGAAATGTCTATTCAAATCCTTTGTTTTTAAATTGGATTATTACAACTATTGAGTTGTAAGTGTTTTGGTGCTTTTGGTATAATGTCTCAGAAAACATTTTCTTCTAAGAGTTGTGTAGTTTTAGGTATTATGTTTAGTTCTATGATCTATTTTGATATGATTCTTGTATATCTCTGAAGAAGTCCAGTTTCATTCTTTTTCTTTTAAATTGAGTTTATTGGTACATTTTAGGTATACAGTACAGTTACATTCATTATTGGGATCTTGTACATTTACATGACTAGTCTTGGTTCTCATTTTTTCCCCTTGTCCCTGCCCTACCTTTACCCCCTCCTCACCTCCCCATTTATAAACACTTTATTTCCATTTTTTTCATTTTCTCATATTTTTTTCTTTTCCCTTATTACCTTTCCCCTACCCTTTCCACTTTTCCTACACCTTTAGTCCTCTTCTTCCTATTTCACATTGTCAATTATCTCGTTAGGATCTTATGTACTATTACAGTTTTTCACACCAGAGAAAGTATTCAGTATTTACACAAGTGTGACTTATTTATTTCACTTAGGAGTATATCCTCAATATGTATCCATGTTCCTATGAATGAATCTAATTTCTCATTCTTTATGGCTGAGTAGTATTCCATTTTATAGAAAAACCACATCTTCTTTATCCAGTTTCCAACTGATGGGCAGGTGGGCTGTTTCCAAGTTGTAGCTATTAAAAACTGTGCCACTGTAAACATAGGTGCGCATATATCACTGCCAATTTCATTCATTTGTATGTGTATACCTAGGAATCTCAGCACCATTTATTGAAAAGGCAGTTTTCCCCTATTGAATTGTCTTGCAATCTGGTTGAAAATGAATCACCTGTAAATGTATAGGTTTATTACAGGATTCCTAATTCTCTTCCATTTATCTGTACTTTTATGATTATGTCAGTGCCACACTATCTTGATTACTGTTAAATTTGTGGTAAGTTTTGAAATCAGAAGTGTGAGTCTTTATCTTTTTTTCCAAGAATATTTTGGCTATTCTGAACCCTGTGTATTTCCTTATGAAGTTGGTCAAATTCTGCCAAAAATCCTGAGATTTGCAGTGAATCTGTAGATCAATTTGGAGGATATCCATCTTAAAAAGTGTTCTGAAAATCCATTAATTTGGAATGTCATTGCATTTGTTTAGGTTTTTATTTTTTTGAATAATTTTAGTTTGGATTTAGAAATCTAAATTGTCAGTGGGTGTGGTGGTGCAGCCTATAATCCCAGCATTTAGGAGGCTGAGGCGGGAGGATCCGTGAGTTTGAGGCCAACCTGGGCTACATAGTGAATTCAAGGTCAGCCTGAACTACATAGCCAGATCCTGTCCCAGACAAACAGACAAACCAACCAGCCTAAACTATTCCTAGATAATTTACTTCTTTGAAGAAATCTAATTTATAATCCAGGTGGGAGAAGACAGTGAAAGAAATGCACTACTAAGATACATTGTCTATTCTACTGGCAGTAATAGATTTGGAATAGGAAATTATATCTGGAGGATTCATTGTGGTGCCAAGAATTACCTGACTGAGAATTGTTAAATCATAGATCAGTTTACCAGCAAGTAGCACTGTAACCTTGTTTTTTGGAACAGTTAAACAGAAGCATTGAATATTTCCCTGGGGTTGTTTGAATTCCAATTAGTAAACCTGTTAACCTTTTGTAATACCAAACAGTTCCAGATATTTACTCTCCTTGAATTTAACATTTTTTCTATGTTTGATTTTGGAGTATTTTTAAAATATAAAGACAATCAAAAAAAGGCATTTGGTGACAAGTCTTGCTGTTAGATCTTTCCCTCATCTAATAGGTCAACCTTTCATTCTTAGATGTCTTTCCAGAATTTGCATATATCAGTAAGGCAAATATGAATATATTACTCTTTAATTTATCCTTCTCAGAGATGTTAGAGTACATGTTTTTTCCAGCTTATTGAGTATAATTGACAAACAAAAATATTTCTGATGTTTTGATATATACACAATGTGAAATGATTACCACAATCAGGCTGATTAACATAGCCGTCATATCGCAGTTGTCCTTTTTTTGTGATCCTTCAGCAATTTTCAAGTGTACTATACACTAGTATTAACTAGAGAGAGTACATGTTAGGGGTTTATAAGAAATAAAGTCATAGTAAGTAGTTTTAAACAAATTCATACTTGATCAATTTAGGTATTTATCTCAGTGTAAACGAGGACTTCCCTCGTATGTGAGTCAAGAGAAAAATCTGATCTGCTTATAGAATTCGCTTATTTCACAGCAAGGTAGCTATTTTAATCAAATGCCTTCTGCATGACAGACCCTAGCACAATGACCGTGAACCTTTTAGAGCTTTTGGTGATGACAAACAGCCTGCCCCGGCACACATACCATAGGTTTGTTACCGCTGTTCTAGGAAATGGCCACTTAGCAGAACCTCTCTGCTTGTGAAAAAGTATATAAAGGCTGATTGGACAAATGCTGTGTAATTCTCTGGATAAATCTCAGGCCAGATTCAAACTTAATGTAGGATCTATACATATGTCTTGCTCTGCATCATTATTTCTTTCCTTGGTGTATGTAAAAATTTTAGTACAAATTAGCTTATACCTAAGAAACTAAAATAATAAAATAGTATTAAATGTCAGGGCTTACTGAAGATAGAAATTTTGCCTAGAAGTACAGCTTTTAAAACATTTTCATCATATGTATATATCACTTAATATCTATTCCAACCTGTATAATTCCTTTACTTTTCTTTTGCAAGAAGACATCTGTTAAAGACATGGCTGATTTTCCTGCCCCTACCCAGGATGTGACTGGTGATGACAAACAAGGTACACAATGAATGAATTTTCTTCTTTTAAGGACACTTTCCCTCTGTTTCCTTGTCTACTTCTCTTGGAATGGATGGCTTCTAGAGCATATGAGGACAGTCATCATTATATAAATGCATTTGGATAGATTAAATAGTTCAAATTGTTACCATAAAACTATACTTCACAAAATGGTAGCAAGAGTAGAAGTGTCCAGATTCCCTCAACTCATTGCTTCTTTTTTCTCATTGGTCAATTATAGTTTGACCCAGGGCTATTTTGATACCTTATACTGGAATCTGGTTCTGAGTTAGGAAATGATTAGAAATGGAAAGAGTTGAGGGCTTAATTTCTTGTGTTGGCAGGTATGATCTAAGATCGATGTAAATGTACCTTTGTGCACAGCTTTATCTATTTATTGGTCTTCCTTTTCTTTTTTCTTTTTTTCATACTTGGAATTGGGCAGGCACTGTGTTGCTGAGCTACATCCCTGACCCTGTGCACAGGTTTAATCCATGAGAAAGTTCTCGTTTGGACAGAGCTCCCATCCCATTGCTTTTATCTGTTTCTCAGTGACTTTGTGAATATGGTGATGTGACATGGAGCTCAAGCACAATTTGCCTGACTTACTGGGCAGCTGAGAAGCCATACAGCAGTGTTTCATGTCAGACCTGCCACCAGGCACCGGGATGAGTTGGCCTGCAGTCTATAGATGTGTAGGAAAGACCTTCTCCTCCAACCCCCATACTTTGTACAATGCTTTTGTAATCTACCAGGCCCTTCCTCATAGACTATCTTATTCAACTCCCATAAAACTGGTATATTTTATCACATAAAACTTGGAGACAAGTAAACTAAAGTTCAGACCATGTGAATCATTTGCTTATGCAAAAAAAAGAAAAAGAACTGGGATGAGAACCAAGATTTTCTAAGTCTGAAGCCAGTATTCCGTCTGTTTTTTGAGATTGAGTCATTGCACATGAATGAAAGAAGCTTATCTGAAGTTCAGGTATTCCAGCTTTTATTGTTGAGACCTGACATTGATGCATATTTGTTATAGGGGTTAAACATGAAAAATACCTTTTTCATTAGCAGTAATGATTTCTTGTTTTCTGTTTAAATACTTGCTCATTAGAGGCAGGTGGAACTAGAAATCATCTGTAGGCCCATGTACTCTGGTCACTGTCGTGACTGGTGGATCTTTGCCTTGACTGCACAGTGGAAACCCTGTGCAAGATATAATAATATTGAGGCCTGGTTTCCATTCCCAGACATACTCATCCTTGATCTGCTGTCAGGAATTGAAGAGGGTATTCCTGTACTTCCCGGTAATACTCCTGTTAACTGCTAGAGGCTCTCTGGAAAGCTGAAAATATATGTTCATCTTTACTCTGTAGGAAAAAAATCTATTTTCATAATCCAGGAGGTCTGTATTCTTCTAGTAAATGCTATAGCAATTTCTAGAGGTTTGCCAGACCTATTTTTGTGATGACTAGGAATTATTTGTTTCAATGTAACACGTGTCAGAAATAAAATTATATAGATTTTTTCTTTTTTTTCTTCCTTTCTCTTTATTGTTCCTGAAAAATGAAACAAAACACCTCTAGCTTTGAAAAGTAGTCTCAATGAAGCCTTACCAAAGGATGCGCCTGAGGATCCAGGTAGGAGAAAACCATTGTAATATGTTTCCTATGTAATTATTTCTAATTTATAAAATGACAGTTTTGCAAGAAGATTGCTACCTCTGTGGCAGGATATCTGTTTCTCTCTTAATGTTCGTGTTGAATCTTGTTACATGGAAACCTTTCGGCTCTCCATCTTTTCTCCCTTTTCATGTATGAGAAGAAGGTGACTTATTTTAAGTTTCAAATATAGCTTTCACCAAAAGGATCACTCAGTTTGAATAAGTACAAAATTGAGAGAACTTGGATTGAGATGATTTGAAGAAGCCATGGTTGCTTCTCTGTAGAGTATGGAATGGATAAGGTAGATCAGCTGGAAACCCAGAGTTGATATTTTCCATATCCAAAGCAAAAACTCAAACACTGTAGTTTCCTCGTATGGCATTGCCAGGAAGGCAAGTGTATGTGCTTATACATGGAGTAGATTACAAGGAGAAAAATAAAGCTGTGCTGTCCATTTTCTTAGAGAGATGAATTTGTAGAACTGTAGAAAATGGCTGGGTCTATGTCCTAAGATCTCTTGATGGAGCTACAGTTGAAACAAGAGGATCCTGGTTAAAAATCAACTGACTCCAGAAGACATTACTATTTGGAACTCTGGTTAGAGGACATGAAAGAAGTTGGTGCTTTCTTGTTCAGTATTATTTCTCTTGCCTATTGCATAATTATATCATGTTTATTGTGATTAGGTAGCTGTCATTCTGGGTTTATTTATTTGAAGTTGGAACAGCAGAATCAGTATAACATTGAAATTTATGCTATGATAAAATATTTCCCAAACACTAAGTTCATTCAAGATTTAAAAGAAGGAAAAGGATAGAGAAAAAGGAAGGAATGGGGTGGAAGTGGGGAGGGAAAGTGGAAAAGGGATGGGAAAAGAGGGTGGGAGGGAAGGAGGGGCGAGGGAGAGAGGGAGAGAGAGGGAGAAGGAGAGAATAAATGAATGAATGTGAATATATGGAAACTCCCTGGGTGATTCTGCTATTCATCCTACTTTGGAAACCACTACCTCTAGAAAGTGATACCACAGAATGGAAAATTAAGATTGTAGATCAATCATGATCCAAAAGTGGTGGGAATTCCTAAGACCAATGTTGACTCTTGAAACTCACTTGGATTCATTCATCACAGGGGGAAATTCTCTATTTGTTCAGGCCAAATGCCTGAGGCCAGTTATTTCTAGCTGTCATTTCTAGTGCTACCATGGGTACTTCCCACTTTTTGTATTTGAAAATTTATCTTATGATATTAGTAAAAATGGCTTAAATTTGGTGTGTTAAATTGACGCTTTTCCAATGGCCTTTGGGAATTCTAACTTTTCCTTTTTTTTCCTAGAAATTTAGCATGAGATCAAGTGCTCTCTGGGCCATGGACTTTAGATCTCATTTTTAGCACTCCTTGACTAGGACTTGGCATCACCAAACAAAACCCAGCAGGTGTGCCACGGTGCATGAAGCATATCTAAATTTCTCTCACATTGTACTTGGGAAAATGCTGTGTGTTTTCTGATTTGTTCTCTCACTGCTTCCCCTTTCTGGATTATCTCAAAACATATTTAAGACCCTCTTTCCTTGGATGAGTTTGGATTCCCCGTGAAAAACACAGGAATCTGAAGGTGGCGATCCTAATTCTGGATGGCAGTCCATACCCTGGGGACAGTTTACTGCAGATCAGCCGCGGCCATTTGGAGGGCTAATCTTTAGGCGTGTGCTCTCTTCCCATTCTCATTTCTTGGAAAGATGACATGCTGGAGTTTTCCAGGGCACTGTCATTCTTTCCTCTCTCCAGCTGAATGAGAGGCTGTGATCCAATCCGTCGGCTTCTGCTTGAATTCACAACCTAGTGTACCCTTGCCATTTCTGCAGATGTCCACACACACTGTCGGGCTTTCAGGAGCTTAGAGGCAGATGGAAGAATAGCTAGAATACTGTTGTCCAGCCTTTTCTAGTCTGAAGCCTGGGGAAAACTGAGACCTGCTTTGGATGTATTTTTGCAGAGGGAAAGAGAAGTACTATCTCCCTGCTCTCTCTCCAGAGTTGCTGGGGATAATAATGACAATAGTAATGACAACGAAGGTGATGTGGTGGTTGACAGATAAGTGGTACTATGTTATCAGGGAATGGGGGACATTTCTTGTTGAATATTTTTCCATATGCCCTTACTCTTTTAGTTGTTGTATATGTTAGGGGAGTCTGAGAGATTTCTTAGCCCACATTCCACTGCGGTCTAATTTAATCGAGCATTGCACACCACATTGCACAGCAGTGATCTTTGTCTTGATGTCTTCGGGCCTTGCTGAGATGTTTTAGGCTGGTTTACTCTTAAGGTGTGGTTCTCAGACTGATCTTGGTAGTTCTGGGAGCTGCTCCATTGCCAATGATCACCTCATGGTCTTACCATAGTGGAGCAGTTTTCTCTTCCCATTATTTGCTCCCATCTGTACCTCCTTTGCTGTCCTGGAAGGAAGTAAACTTAGCAACCATATTTCTAAGCTTGAAATATTAGGCGCCCTTATTTATGCACTGTATGAGATAATGTGTAATGCATTCAGCTTTCTTAGTGCTGTTGCCTTTTTTTCTGTCCCCGTGGGAAAGAGGCTGCATCTTCATGGTTTTCATTCTGTAGGTAAGTAAACTGAAGTCCAGGGACATAACAGCTAGTTAGTGTCATGACCAGGTGGAGCACCTGGGCCTCAGAACTTCTGGCCTGGTCCCTGGTCCTGTCTCTCCACCACTCATCCACACCCTCACTCCATCTGTCTGTCTATCTCTCATTAGCAGGGTGAGTCCCACCCATCCCTGTACCAGTGAAAAGACAGAGATAATGACAGTTCACAAAGGAATTAACGGTAATCGTGGTCTGCTTTGGGGAAATAGTATTTTAACACAGTCAGGACTTCTTCTACTCAAATATTACTGGAAAGCAGTGGGGTCCCTGGAGAAGAAGGACACAGAGCCAGTGTTGGTCAGCCTGTTCCAAGGCCTCCCCTCAGCTCTGCGGTGAGTCTGGCCACATGCTGGCCCCCCAGATCCAGGGTGGCTTCCTTGGCTGGGGAAGAGGCCCCACTTAGGCTGCCTTTCTTTGCTGTTGGAATTTGTGGGAAAGAAGCTGTATCTAGTTGTGGGTGTGTGATGTGGGCAAGAAGGGAATCAAACTCCCTGGGTTTTCCATGCTTTAGGGGCTGTGGCAGTGCTTTGGTTTGAAACTATAGCGATCCTAGTGTTTAGATTGGGAGAAACGTCTCTCCTCTGCAGCTGACCATGTCCAAGGCTCTCTCTTGGTAGTTTTCTTTGTGTCGTGCTAGTGTTTATAAGGATTTCCAGCTCTTCTTTCTGCCCTTCTTATTTAATCCAGGGATTCTAAAGATCATCATCAATCCAGCAGGCTCCTTCATACCAGGGAGGGCTTTTATCTTTGAGTAGTGTAAAAGAGGATGGAATAATACAGTGAGATATTTTCTTCTGGCAGAATTTGTGAAAACAAATAAACAAATTATATCCTCCTTGTTCCTTATTACTAGCAGTCTTCCTTTGAATTTTTATGGCATTTAATGGTGAAAAATTTACAAGGTTTGCAAAACCTTAGCATAGCTACTGGTTTCTAAAGTTGTCTTTCATGGAGGATTGAAATAATAAGAAGATTGATGTTTTTATAAATGTTTCTAATTACCGCCCCCAATTTATGGCTGGAAACTGGGCTCCATGGGTGTTGGTAGTAAGTTCGATTATGAAATAAATTTGATGAACAGTCACATGGTTGACAAAATATTTTAATGCTTTCATTCCATAATATTTTGCCTGATTTGGTTATAGAAACTTGGCACAGGAATATTTCTTTAAAAGAAAAGTTGCAGAGCTCCTGTTAACTTTTAGGAGCTTTGTTTTCTTGTGGCCATGTGGCTCCAGTAGTGTATTTTAAGAAGATGTATGGTTGGATAGAGTTCTTCCTAGTCATCAGGGGAGTCTGGTTCAAAATCTATTATCAGACTATCATGACAGACTAAGAAGCCTGCTAGTGTGGATCTATCATTATATAAAAAGATAACACCTTGAAAAGGTTGTCTTTAAATCCTGGGACATCTTCATTAATCAACTTAGATTTGAGAATGGCTTCTTGGAGTAGTATTTTGACAAGGGAAAATGTGCTGGTTTTTCTTTCCCTTTAATTGTGCCATTGGCTTTAAAAATAAAATTAGGAAATTGTGAAAATATGGGAGCCCTCAAGTTCTCCATGTGGACATCTTTACTGCACATTTACCTCTTAATGTGTTCTGTACTAGCCCAGGTGCTGCATATAACCTTGTTTACCTGCAGAAATGAAACCCAACCAAACAACAATTAATCTTTGTTTCAGCAGCTCCTAAGGATTCCAACAGTCTCAAAGCAAGACCAAGATCCAGGTAGTATTCGTTTCATTTCTGCTTTAATGCCCTATGTGCCCTGTCCCTGCCTAGAACTAAAAAGCCCCAAACCCAAACCATGATCTATTTCTTTTGTCTTTAGATTTGAAGCTAAATGTATGGGGCCATTTCATTCATTGTGAGCGGCCTGCCTTGAACACACAGTTATGCTGAGGAAGGAATTTAGCCTCTGGTCATCAGTGCTAGAACATAGTGGCTGATGCTCTCTGGCTCCCTGGCAGGAAGTGGGTTGTGTGCAATAACCCAGTTGGGGGCAGGATGGTAACTAATAGAGGGACAGAGTTTCGGGAAGAGAGAAAGACAGTAGCAAACTGAAATTTGCTATTGTGACAAGGTGAACATCAAGAAGTAGGAAGTCTTGGGGACTGAAATCTAGACTAGGAAAATGCTTATAATTTCAAACAGGCACAATGCTTCAGGTAAGCAGTGCCTGTGGTCTCTTGGAGTCTATATTAGCACCTCTTCCATGCTTCACATTTTAAAAATAGTCAGTGGAAGAAGGAGAACCAGTAAGGCAGAGCTGTGGTTGACATGAGACTCATAAGATAGGAGTAAAGGAGAAACAGAGAAACACTAAAATAGTTTATCCATCAAAGAGGAAAAATAATATTGGGACTGCTTTTCAGCAGTAGGCTACCATGTGTGTGTTTTCTGAATTTTGCTTTGTCTCTTTGTGACATTTTGCTTCCTGTGGCTACTAGACACATTCCTGAAATAGTGAATTTTAACCTGATTATATTTTATATGTTTGAAATACCTACATTTGGGAAAATCTCATCTTACTGTAAATTGAGGTTTTGTTTCCATTTTAATGCATATATCTCCATTCATATTTTAAAAAATAGAATAATTTATTTTAGTAGAAGGAAAAAGTATAGTCACTCTTTCTATGATCACTACATATAATTATTCTTTAAAGGTTGAATAGATTTTTGCTGTTGTTTACTGAGACACTCTATGTAGTTCAGGCTGGTCTTGAACTCACTATGTAGCCCAGCCTATCCTTGAACTCAAGGTGATCCTCCTGCCAGAGCCTCCTAAGTGCTGGGGTTAGAGAAGTGTACCACCATTATTTTTTACAAATTAGTATATACTAGCTGTGAGATATGAAAATAGTAATCTTTATCTAATTTTATAGCAGGAAAAAAATCACTGAATTGCAGAAATGTACTTGTGTATTCTGTGTTAACTATAAATTGAACTTAGCTTCTGCTGACTTTTTTTCCTCCCCCAAAGTGAGTGAAATTATAAAATCCCATAGGAACAGTCTCCATTATTAATGTGTCTGGCTGCATTTATATATTATTCTTTCAGAAATTGGCATCCTGGTCTAATTTTGATGGTTTTATTTTCACTGTTTCCAATTGGGTCTTTATTGAGACCAACTGAATCAAATCAGTTTTATTCTCCTTTTAAAAACAATAAAGATTTGTAGAAACATAAGGGAAAGAGGGAAAATCACTATTCTAATATTACTGTGTCCATCATTTCGTCAATTCTCTGAATATTTATGTTTTCATTGGTTGCAGTCGTTGTTATACAATCTCACTTATTTGACATTCAGTACTTTTCCATATGAAAGTATAAACACAGGTTATATATGGAAATGAAGTATATGATATGGGACAGTCCGTTAATGTGCATGTGTGTTCACACAATTATTTCTACATGCACATTATTCTTTCTTTCTTGAGAGAAAGATGTCACCAAAGCTCTAAATGGAAAGCTGTTTTGGTTTCTAGCTAAGATCTCTCATTTCCCTTTTAAATCAAGAGTTCCCATTTTAAAACTTTGTTGACTTTTCACATCAATTCCCTCTGATTCTGGTTGAAAGTGTTAGAGCATTCTTCCCTGCTAGTTCCTGCCTGTTTTGGCCTTGCCTGTATTGCCAGTTATGTTATAGGGACCACCCCAGAGCATGTCGCATGCCATTATTGTAGTGTTATTAAAGATTACAACCTTTCAAGACAGACAAAACCCTCAACTACCTCAAAGAAACCTTGAGAAACTTAGGAAAGTAAAAACTTGCTGTCAAAAAAAGTTCTGCCAAGAATGGAAGGAACCTAATGTTCACTGATAGATTGTAATTTCCTAAGTGCTATTCTAATAGCTAAATTCAAAGAACAGTCTCTTGAGGTTAATTTGTCTCTAGGTCACATCTCTGACTCAGAGGTCATTTTATACCAGCTGAAAAGCTGAAGAGAAAGGACATACAGTTCCAATTCTTTCATTCTTTTCATGATCATTATGTTTGGAACATGTACTGTAGACCTGTTCCTAAGCAATAGGCCGATGTAGAGAGTTCAATTAATTTAGAAAATTAGTCTCCAGCAAATATTCTAGCTATTACTGCCAAAGGACTTGTTCTCTGGCTCATAGGCAGGATAAGAACATTTTAAAAATAAAATTTACAGAAATTGGAGTTTGAATTGAGCCTGTGTAACTTTCTAGCTGTGTGACCTTCAGTTATTTAGTTCCTTTTTCTTTAAATGTCACTATTCGAATTACAGTCTCAGAAGTTGTCTAGTTAGCTATGCCTTGCTACACTTTTAGGAAGGCTAAGATGAGGCTTTTGCTTTGAAAATTTCCCCAAACCCTTATTTCTTAGGGTAAGGGAAGTGAAACCCCTCATTCTGATTGATGTATATTTTCCTTTCCCAAATTTCATTTATGGTATATTCTTTTAAATATTTGATTCTCTCAACATAGTGAAAATGGCCATACTACCGAAACTGCTATATACATTCAATGCAATGCCAATTGATCATTTATGGTATATTTTTAAATATTTGATTCTCTCAACATAGTGAAAATGGCCATACTACCGAAACTGCTATATACATTCAATGCAATGCCAATTGAAATTCCAACACTATATTTCACAGAACTAGAAAAAAGAATCCAAAAATTTTTTTGGAACCACAAGAGACCTAGAATAGCAAAAGCCATTATAGGCAACAGTCACATGGCACCAGGTGTAACAATTCCCAATTTGAAACTATACTACAAAGCCACTGTGATAAAATCAGCATGGTACTGGCAAAGAAATAGGCCTGAGGATCAATGGAACAGACTGGAAGACACAAAAACAAATGCAGATGTACTCAGCTACCTCATCTTCGACAAAGGAGCTCACCATCCTCAGTGGAGGAAAGATAGCCTCTTTAATAAATGGTGTTGGAAAAACTGGATATCAACCTGTCACAGATTAAAATTAGACCCTTATCTTTCGCCATGCACTAAATTAAAATCCAAATGGATTAAAGATCTAAATATTAAAACAGAAACATTAAACTTGCTGGAAAGTAAGTTAGGCAGAACTCTGGAAGACATTGGTATAGGAAAAGACTTTATGAACAAATCCTCAGTAGCACGGGAACTAGCAGAAAGAATCAACAACTGGGATCTCATCTTACTAAAAAGCTTCTGTACTTCAAAAGAAACCATTAGCAGAACTAAGAGACAATCTACAATGTGGGAAAAAATTTTTACCAGCTGTACCTCAGACAAAGGACTATTATCAAGGATATATAAAGAACTCAAAACAATCAGTCCCCCCAAATATAAAGACCCGATCCAAAAATGGGCATCCGAAATGAACAGACATTTCTCATACAAAGAAGTGAAAGCAGCAAGAAAATATATGAAAAAATGTTCCACATCACTGGTCATTCGAGAGATGCAGATGAAAACAACACTGAGATTCCACCTCACCCCACAAAGAATGGCTGCTATCAAGAAATCACACAATAACAAATGTTGGCGGGGTTGTGGGGAGAAAGGAACCCTCCTCCATTGTTGGTGGGAGTGCAGACTAGTGCAACCACTATGGAAATCAATATGGAGATACCTCAAAGAGCTTGGACTGGAGGTTCCATTTGACCCAGCCATCCCTCTGTTGGGTATCTTTCCAAGAGAACTAAAAGAATCATATCACAGAGAAGTATGTGCACCCATGTTTATAGCGGCACAGTTTGTAATAGCTAAATCTTGGAAACAACCTATTTGCCCATCCGTTGGAAACTGGATAAAGAAGTTGTGGTTTTTCTATAAAATGGAATATTACTCAGCCATAAAGAGCGAGAGAATAGATTCATTCATAGGAAAATGGATACATATTGAAGATATACTCCTAAGTGAAATAAATAAGTCCCACATGTGTAAATACCGAATAGTTTCCCTGGTGTGAATATTCTGCAACAATGCATAAGATTCTAATAAGATTACTGACATTTAGAAATGGGAGGAAAGGAGCTAAAGATGTAGGGAAGGTGTGATACGTAGGGGAAGAACAAAAAGGGAAAAGAAAAAAATGTGAGAGAATGAAAAGATGAAAATAAAGTGTTTGTAGATGGGGAGGGGAGGAGGGGGTGAAGGGAGGGCAGAGGTAAGGGGAAAAAAATGAGAATCAAGACTTGCCATGTAAAGGTACATGATCCCAACAATAAATGTAACTGTACTGTATCCCTAAATGTACCAATAAACTCAATAAAAAAAAAAAATAAATAAATATTTGATTCTCATGTTCAGTTTACCTGTCCCAATTCCTTATGTTCTTGTCATCACATTTGCAAATAAACATGAGGAAAGTTCTTCAGTCAGTTAATACAGTGATGCCCTTCTGTTAAAACATGGAAGTACCTAAGCTGAAGGGCTTACATGTTCTTATTAACACCTCTAATAGAAGCTGATTTGAAGTTACACCGAGCTTTTGGGAGGGGATAAATTTAGGTGTATGGTATAGTAAAGAGCAAAGAGTTTAAAAAGACCTCAATTTACGGTTGGATTTGGACAGTTGTACATAGTGGCATCCAATGGATAGTAGAATTTGTGACTGCTGTTGGTGGGTCATCAGTCCTTTGCAGTCACTTTGACTTTGTGGGTGTTTTCTATTTCAACCTAACTTCAGGGAGTAAAGCTTTGCTATTTCCCTTTTTCCTTCTCTTCTGACCTTCCCTTATTTTGCTGCAGATCTTACTCTAGCACCTCCATAGAAGAGGCTATGAAAAGGGGTGAGGACCCTCCCACCCCGCCACCACGGCCACAGAAAACCCATTCCAGAGCCTCCTCCTTGGATCTGAATAAAGTCTTCCAGCCCAGTGTGCCAGGTGAAGTTCTCCTTTGCCCCCTAAACCTTTTCCTTTCCTGTTGGAGCCAGCAGATATATCTGTCAAAGATGTATCTTTGTGAGTCTGGGGAAGAAGCAGACTTGGTGGTTTCTCATCGCAAGGTCTTCATGTTGCTGTGGTATTCTTGTTCAGGAAAACAGTCCTAGGTAGATATATAGCACATGGGTTTGGAACCTTGCTTAGGCTTGCTGTAGATCAAGAATTATGAAATTCTCTACCAAGAGGGCACAAATAATTCAAACCCAGGCAGCCCACTGTGTACTTGGTTTGAGTCTTGCTGTCTGCATCATGGTAATTTGTAAACAAGATCACTATCTGTCATTTCCTCAGACACTTGTGTGGGTCTTCTCTGCAAGATCTTGGTGATCAGCGCTGGGCTAGAGCCTTCTCCTGCAGTTTTTCCTTATGTAGAAGATCCTGTGTGCCATAGGATTTAATGCAGAGGGGCCTTTAAGTCTGACTGGTGGTTGGGTGGTTGGTATAGAAGTCTAGAGAAAGGGAATCTTCAGGTGGGCTGCTCTGGGGATTCTGGAATGGGACTTCCTCAGAAGCTGTACAGCAGGCTGGAGGGAGAGGAAGCCAGAGGTGCTTGTCTGCTTGCTGGCTTCCTGGGAAGTGGCATGTGTTCTCTTTGGGAAGCTAAGGAACAGAAGGTGAGAGACAAGCTATTGCTTCAGTGCAGGTGATAGGATACAGTGCCATTCAGGGTGCTATTTTCGGAGCAACACGGGCTTTTCCACTGACTCGTATAGGCAAGCTATAAATACAGTGGTTTTTTGAAACATTTAAAAAATCTATGTGTATTTTAAAGCAAGCCAGCCTCAGATGCTAGTGATTTGCAGATTATTATCTTTTCTACTAAAGCGAAAAGACTTTCCTTGGCTTACACATTAGCATGACCTCTGTGTCTGGGCAGAGCTCAGCATATTTTATTTGTTCTAATAAAGTACTCTCCTTGTAGTAAAGTCATAGATTGTTTTTTAATTTATTAGAATCTGAAACTCTCTATGAGATTTGATTCTCTGCACTGAGTTCATCAGATGAAAATTTCTCTTGAATCCCCCCCAATACTTTGATCCAAATTCTGGCATAATTTCTTAGTAACTTGTATTTAGGGTGCAAGTACCCACGGGTGATAATGCTGTAAAACTTTTACATTGCTGGCAGATCATGACCTAGCTGATATTTATATGGATGGAGAGAGATTGAAACAATCTGGGCAACTATCTCAGTACCTTTCCCTCGCAAAAAGGGAAGCTGGAAATGCATACACATCTTTCAGGCTGTGTGTGACCCCACGAGGAGATGCCAGCTGTGTTTGAGAATTGACGAGCCGTGGCTTTTACAACATTGCATCATAGGTTGGAAGAGACAAAACAGGATTGGTGCCCAGCTCATCTGCATTTTAGCTGTTTAATTTTCAGCAAGTTGCTTAATCTTCCTGTACTTCAGATTCGTGCTCTAAAATAGGGCCAATACTCTACGTAGTGGTATGGTTTTGGTGAGGTTATAAACATAATACAAATATCACCCAGTTTGGCCCATAGACCTCAGTATGCATCCAAGGCCCATATTCCTGTGAGCTGCAAATACCAAGGATTTAGCGCACCTGGGGCAACCCTTGGCCAATGAGGCTAAAACCCACTACTCCCCACGGACAATTTTGTAATTCTTTCTAGATAGTTATTCAGAAAGCTTGCAATACAACCCCAGTTGCTTGCTATAGTACCCCAATCATTAGCACAACTTTTCTTATTTTTTCCCCTCCTGCCTCGATTCACTTTCCCCACACCCAACTAAAATACCTCCTCTTGAGTCCTTGTCTCAGGGACTGTGTTAGGGAGAATCTGAATTAAGAGAGTTTTCTTTGACCTCTCCAATGATCATAAGACTTTACAATGCAAAAGCATTTTAGTGTGATGAGTGGCTCCATGACGACCCTCTGTATGTCTAGATAAACCAAGATGTGGGCAAAGAATAGTGGGGCAGATGGCATCTGTATTCATGGCCTAATTCTATTGTGTTTTCAGAACAGGTTGACACAATAAACTTCTGTTGAGTAGTTCACACGTGTCACATGAAAAATAGAATGTTTCTGCAGTGTGAAAAGCAGGTGTATCATTCCATTTACTTAACTTATTTTCATTTAGTTAATTCTCACAAAGTACAAGAGTCCGTTTAGATTATGGAGAATGTTAGTGTATTAAGCACTGCTGGAAATTATTAAAATTGTGACTAATGACAAACATGAACAATAAAGTCCAAACCTACCAGAAAAGTCTACATATGAGAACCATGGTACACACTTAGCAATCTGTTTGTTGCCCTTGCCTTTATGTATCACTTTAGGTAAACAGGTTCATACTCTGCTTGCTGTTCTGTATCCTGATCTTTCTGGTTAACCATCTTTCTGCTTCCTAGTAGAGAATGGAATCATTCCTTTTGATGCCTGTATACTAGGGGTATCCTGTAATTGACAGGTAGTGATGGCAGTCTCTCTCCCTCTTCCCTGTCTCCTTCTGTCCTCCATGCTTTTCTCTGGATCTGTATTTATTTATTTATTTATTTCCAGTACCAGGAATCAAACTCAGAACCTTGCACTTGTGATGCAGGTGTGGTGCCACTGAGCCACATCCCTGGCCCCTTCCTGCTTTCTTCTGAAGCTCTCCCATGACCCCCAGACCATCCCACTTAATTCTTTTTGCTCCTTTATTACTCTTGCAGGCATCTCTCTCTCCCCGTGTCTTCCTCAAGCCTTCCTTTTCTCCTTTCTGCTCCCCACTCTTTTCTTCTTTCTTCTCTGCTTCTCTTTTGTCCCCCCTTCCTGAAGTAGGCATGAACCTACCCCTTTGCCAAGGCTCCTCCACAACTCAACTGTGCTCTTAAGGTATAAACAAGGCAGAGGTTATCAGTGACTTCATATCCATATCTTTTTTTCCTCATGTAATTATTTTCTTGCAGGATATCCTGCTTGTTGGAATTATGGGGGCAAAGGCTACAGATGTTGAATGTATAAATATATGTCACCAAACTGCCCTAGAAAGCCAATCTAATCACCCCATTGCTAACATTGCCTGAAAGTGTTTTCTTACAATCTTGCCATCACTGATTAATGTTCACTTAAATATTTTTATCAGTGCATATTAATTTTATACAATTCTGGGTTTTATTGTGGAATGTTCTTCGTCTTTTTAAATGTTACCCGTATAGTAAGCAAAATTTGCATTTCTCTAACTCCTAGTGAGGCTAAGCATATTTTCATATCATTACTGGTCATTATTATGTCTTCTTTTGTGAATTTCCTGCTCGCAAGGCTTAGTGAGTTCTGTGCTGCACCTCTCTTTGCCTAAGCACAGGCACTACTTGTCTTCCTTTATTCCAGTCACTTGGGAATGTGAAGGTGGCCATGAGAAAGCTAACCTAGTCTGCTGTTCTGCTATAGGATTCAAGTAGGATTTAAGTGGATGGCATTAATGTATTAACATTTATGAAAAGAGGTAATATGATATGGGGAAAATAAAGGGCTAATTTAAAATGTAAATCTATAAAAATAAACAAGACCAACTTTGGAAATATAGAACAATTGGCTTCAACTCTGATACCTGTAAAGAGAGAGTGTAGATGTGAGATTTACTGGAGCCTGGATAATCCCAGGGCCTTAGAAATGGGCATCAAATCTAGCATGTGGGCTTTTATCAGGAGATGTTGCTAGAATCTGATCACTGTGTGTAATAGGGAGACTACCATTTGGAATAGGTGGTTCAAGTCTTGGAGCCCTTTCATCACACTTGCACACAGTTGCTGTGTTTGAGAGAGGACAAAAATGTGCAAGGAGGTCTTAAGTCAGGGATGCTGCAAATCTCCAAAATCAGGAGTCAAAGCTAGGACTTGCTTGCAGTGGTGTTTACATTTTATACCTCTGTACCAGTGGAGGCGAACCTGTGGCATGTGTGCTGCAGTGGGCACACAGAGCCCTCTCTGTATGCACATGAGCCAAGTCACCTCAGCAGTTGAGCATTCAGGTTGAGCTGTAGTGTTGTCCCTTTGTGATCAATAAGTGGGTTTTGGGGTGCAGTTTGGGTACTCAGTCTCTAAAAGGTTCCCCATCACTGCTTTATACTGTTAGCCAAGGAATGTTTTTTATTACTGAAATTTCTGTAAGAAAAACTACACTGTGAAGCCCTAACCTCTCCTTTTCCTCATTAAAATTATTGTTTTCATTAGATGATTCTTTTTAAATAAAAAGAGTTTCTTCTCTTCAACTGGGTAGAAATTTCCTGAGCTATGTCCTCAGCCCTTTTTCATTTTTCTATTTTGAGACAAGGTCTTGCTAAATTGCCCAGGCTCAGCTTGAATTTGTGATCCTTCTGCCTCAGCTTCCCTGAGTGTTGGGATCACAGGTGTACTCCATCATACCTCACCCTCCTTCTGCTTTTGACCCTGACCTACCTCTTCAAAAGCCATGTCTAGGGTTTATAGCCCAAGGTTTCCATGGTGATGGTGAAAACCTTAACTGTCTTTGCCACAATAGCCTTGTTTTTGTTACTGAGCCTGCTAGCAGAAGGGACAGAGATTGTGAGAAAGACACATAGACATGCCTTTAAAGCTTCAGATCATGAACTCTCATCACTTCTACCACTTCCACTCCAGTCTAATGGAGGAAACCTAGTCCTATGGATATATCTAGCTGCTGGGCAAGGCCTCTGTTTCCCAGGGGCACCTTCTTACTTTAAGAGAGAAGAGTGGATACCGATAGATTGCCTTTTCCATCTCTCCCCATATGGCCAAATATATTGAGAGTCACATGTTAAAGCCATTATTATGGTGAACAAAACATGTCCATAAGCAGTGTCTGTCTATGGTAACTAATTTCCAATGTCTGCTTTCAATATATACCACTAATAAAAATTCATTCCATGGTTAAGAAATTATGGTAATCCATACCATGGACTCTTAGGAAGCTGTTAAAAACCAATGCA